CACAATCACAAGAGAGGGCAAAAAAAAAACACGATGCCAAAGAGCAGCAGGCCACCAGGGGCAACAACGGCGCTGTGAATAGGAGCAGGCCGCCAGCAGTATAGAGCAGCACACGCTCAGCCAACACAAGAACAAAGCCACGACCGTGCAAAGACAACAGATGGCAAGAAAAAAAACAAGTGCAGTACAAATCTTAGAGCCTTCAGATCATGTGGTGGAGAGGTTAGATGTGACATAGTTAATTTTCATCTAGATGTGAGTTAGCCAATCCGTTTCTATAATAGACTTTGACTTAAGAGAAATATAAAATTTGAAATATTTGAAAACGGAAGGAGTAGTTTATATAGTATCGATAAAAATAACCAAGTTGTAGTATAATAATCCTCGGCGTGCACTCGCGGCCCATGTACATCAGCGCATGGCTTGAGGAATGTCACGGAAGCACTTTCTCTTGCTCCTTCGGGAAAAAGTTGTGTGGTGCATGGCAGTGCCCTCTGAGCTAGGATGGACGACAGATATTTTTAAAGGTTATGACTTGTGTAGCAGTATACGGCTGCTAGTGGGGTACGTAGTGCAGGATATATATTTGTTGAAACAGACGTAGTGCAAGATAAGAAAAAGGTGATCGAAAGGATGTATACATTACATGCACCGTGCATAAAGATTATGAGCTGGTAAGTATATATGACTGCTAGTGGGGTAGTACAACTCTGCAAGATAGGGAAAAGGTTGTGGGAAGGATGCACGCATGTACCTTCATGCATGGTGCGGCACCATTCCAGACGGAGAAAGAGACGCATGCATTCGTGATAGGAATGTACACCCAAACTTTAGCCGCGATCACAAGGTAACTGCACACCTCCGGCAATGTTTGTGACCCGTCAATTTGAAAAGGCATGCGGTGCGTCCCAAACTACTCTAGTGCGCAATCCAGCTCGATCCTCAAGTAGCAGCAGCTTAGCCGCCGGTTATGGACGTCTCTAAGTTGACCAAGAAATAATCATTTGTGTATATGGGTAGGATGGTTAGGAGAGTGGTCGCACTCTTGGCCTACCACGAATTACACCCTAGGTTAGATGCCACGTGTCTGTTACATTTATGCAGATCATTCTATTAATTGGTGGTACGTTTCCATCGATAGCGATGTCTCTATGGTCAATCTGTCAAGTTTGAAGCTTCAAACTACGATTTTCAGTAGGTGCGTTGTCACTGTGTGCGCGTGGTGGTTTATGTCGACTCTCACGTCTGTCTACATATATACTCGATGTTTTTAAAAAGAGCTATGAAAGTCGCTATCCCATGGATTCTTTATCTAGCGATTGACTGTGTTCTGTTGTGTGATTAGACGCGGAGGAATTTTTAGATGCTCCGGAATTAACATGGGCCATTGATTTTTGGTGATCCGGTGGTACTCTTACCTCCAGGCAAGTAAGAGGTTATCACTGATCTTATAGGGTTAGTATGGACTTTTCCATTTGTTTAAATTAGGAAGCCAATAAAATTGATGTTCAGAAAGAAGAAAATAATAATGTCATCAGTGCAGGGTTGTAAACCATGAAATATAAGAGTATGTGAACTCATATTTGATCCCTTTTTTCATTTATCGGCCATGGCATTGAGCTGTGTGTAAATATTTGTTACACACATATGTGTCATCAAAGCAAGGTGGTAAACAATATTAGTTATTTTGTTCTTTGTAAATTTTGCAGAACCCTGCGAAGACAAAGCATTAAAATTCAAAAAAGTTCTAATGCACACTATGGATATGTGTGCTGTTTTGCTGAACTTTCGTGCATTACCAGCGACTACAATCTTATTTGTTCAAATTTGAGGTGACATAACCTACTATGTGCAAGTAAAACTAGTGAACCGATACAAATAATTTTCACAACGAGTCATGCAAAAGTGTGCATCTACAATTATTGGAGAAAACAATTTTGTGGTAAAAGAAAATAAAAACAAATAAATATGGAAAAATCATTTGTGGATAGAAGATATGTCTAGTATATATTAAAGTATTTTGCAAAAAAATTGGTACATACCAAAGAAATAAGTAAGTCCGTTCAAGACATATTTTTACTAATACTCACCATAGTCATAATGTAATATGTCCAAGTTTGCCCATGATCAATGGACAGAGTCCTCTTAGCTTTTGGGGTGGTAAGTTGAAGCTTGTTAAAAGTTAGAAGTGCTCTTACACAACGATGGAAGAATATTCCCTTTAATAAGCACACTGACAGGTAAGATAATGTTCTCAGGTAGTAAGCTTAGTCTGCTTGATTATCTCTTATTATTTTTATTTTTATTTAAAAAGAATTTAAAGTTCCCCTTTTCTTTTCCTTCATCCATACCCCTATGTGCATTCCCACCCTCCTTCTTCCCCACTATGATTTTTTTCCTACGCCATCTCTGTTTTTTTCCTACCGTTTTTTTCCAAAAACCGCCTAAAGTGCTCCAAGTATTATTGACTTACCAAGTATTCTCTACTACATAAGAAGAATGTAAGGCTCCCGCCTTTTCATTTTTCCTACCCCTACATACGTCCTTCCCCTCG